GAAAAAAGCGGAAAGGTGGAGACTAATGGATGAGAGTTGATTTTGGCAAGCTGGGCCTTGAGAAGTGGTATTAACTGTTAGAGGGGTTGTGACTCTAAAGCAATGAGCAAAGAGACGCTGTGCTAGGCAAACAGGGTGTAAGTGACCCACAGTGATGACAGGCTTCAGTATTTTCTCACAGATAATAACTAGCTGAAGAAAAGAAGATGCCTTAGGCCTCTAGCCAAATTGGTCACCTTACAGCTATGAAATGCCCCACCTAGCACTAATTATGACTATTATAATAGTAACAATTAAATCAAAGTAACTGCTCCTAATCTTTGACATCTGCCTTGCCAAGGCGAGTATTTTTTTTGATTATGAAGCAAAGAAAGGAACTTAACTTAAAATTGTCCTTTGTTTCGGAAAGGTTCTGTTATTATCTGACTAAAACTCAAGTTTTGACAAGTTGTGAACACAACCCTGTGTTCCCAGTTTCCCAGTTTCCAGTGTTTACACCTCACACAGTGTTTGTGCATCTGTGATGAAGGCTGAGACAGAGATTGGCTCTTCTGTTTTATGTGATACCCCCCAGATGGACTGTGGCCGTGGCTGCCCTGTGGTTGTCTTTTCTGCCTTGTACTATCCTCACCTGTTGTTTACATAGGTTTGGATATAGCCAAAATCAGACATGAGTGCATTTAAATGTACTGACTAGGAAAATCAGCAGGTGGGCCCAAGCTCAGGTGAGTCTCCTCTAAACAGTTCTATTTTTGAAACAAAAGCCAGGTTTGATGCTGTGTCACAATGCTTGGTGAGATAAGACAGCACCACCATGGGCCATCTGTTCAAAGCACAGCCAGAGAGAGTGTTCACCTTCCCCCAGCCCTGGGCTCTGCAGACCTGCAGAGGGAAGCCCTGAATCTGGGCTAATTGAGGGGATCTGCAGCCAGCCAGCTTCATATTTAATAGGGATTTACTGCTGATGGAAATTACAAGCGAATTACAGATTCCAACACGTCATGGTCTCGCCAGAGTCAAACAAAAGCACGTGGTGATAAGAACAGGGTGCTGCACGCTGGGACCTGAGGTGTCCATGGATTTCATTGCTTTGTTAAAGTATTGCTGATAAGCTGTGAGGTACTACAGAGCTCCACATCTTTCCTAGAGACTATGGTTTCCTCAGTTGTGTTTATAATGCCGTTTACAATTTCCAGTTCTTCTGTTTGTTTTTATAGGAGTGTAGGAGGGTTTCTTTCTCTTCAAATCAAATCATAGGGCCTCACCATTTCTAGCTCAAAGTCTCCCTAATGCTGCTAATCTCCTATTAACAGCCTACTGACACAGAAGAGACAACAGAAAAAGACTGATTGCCAGCCCTCTGGCCCTGTGACCGTGTGCTGGTCAGATCTGGATTAATAGTTGAGGCGATTTACCTCAGGAGGCCTTGTCACAGGTGCCTGTAACTCTAAACTCTCCTCGAACTGCCTGGCAGGAGAGGGAGGAGGGGAACCAGTAAATCCACAGATTGATGCACACACAAACAAGGCCCTGCTGAAAATCATTTTTCTTCTCCTATACAAAACCAGGATGACTGTGGGAAAAAAAACCTCCTTGACTTCATAAAAAAGGCAACGAGCTGGGCATGGACATTCCACCCAGGACACAAAACCCACTGTGGTACTTACTCAAACTAACTTGTCACTGACAGCAAGTTCGTTTAGCTTTTCTGGTTGCTAGAAATTGCTGTCCAAGAGCACAGGCAAACACCCTGCTTCCCTCCTGTGCTTGTGTAGTAGGATAGATTGCCCTGCTGTGTATCTGTATTCAAGTACAAGAGCGACCCTTTCAGCTTTAAGACAATTTAAGCTGCTCCCATTCAAGGAAAGATGGAAAAACAGCATCGTTCTTATTTGGCAACTGGGATGCCGGGTACAGCTGACCAGCTGCACTTGACGTCAGCCAGCAGCAGAGTGTCCCCACAGAGCATCTGAGCTGCACCAGGAGTCTCTGCCTGATGCCAGCCAGAGAAACAGAGGCAGGAGCTGCTCTGCCTGGGTCCAGGTCAGCCACCGAGGCTTCAGGTGTGCCCAACAGTGGAGCTCAAGCATGTCTCATCTCCACGGAGATGATTATATTTCAGAATGATTTCATTTTGCTCGTTAACAAATTGTCAGTAATATAGGTAATTGTTCCTGGCCTGAAGTTAAACAATCCGGTTACTGAGTGTTATTCGCAGGTCAGAGAGCTGCAAGAGGTTTGGCCTTCAAGGCACCACACTGTCCCCTCTAGGAAGAGGGGTGAAGTACAAAAACATTCTACCGTGCCTTGCAGAGAAATTAATTTATCCTATAATCATTGGTATTACAAGGCTGCTTGTCCACCTTGGCTTCTCACACAACCACACACTGCAGCTCATGCAGAGCTGCCGTTCAGAGCAACTCCTACCTCTCCCTGACCCTTCCCAGCCCTTAACATAACTGCATCAATGTTACAGCTCACTGCCTTTCCATAGGTATTTATTAATCAAGTGCATCTGCAGGGAAACAGGATCTGACTCTGCAGCACAGCTGCTCCTGCTGCTCGCTCCCCCACCTGAAACAACAGCCCCGTTCCAAAAGCTGCCTCCGTGACCGCAACACCTGCAGCAAACATCACCAGAGCGATGCTGGGTTGCCCTTCTAAGGGATACAACATTACTGGCTGCTCCCCGTGAAAGAAATCCTTCAACAGCATCTTTGCATAACACAAACGTACCTTGTTTTTGTGCTGTCTCACTCCTTTTCTGAGTCTCAGTGAGGAGCATCCAGCCAGTGTGAGTCTTTTTCAAACTTGATTCCTTATCCATATTTGGGAATTTGTGCTGGGCACTAGCTGGTACGAGGCACGTTCTTCCCACAGTGCACTTTGGGACTTGTAGTTCCCAAAAAGGAATGTTGTTTTCCAAATTGCAAGCGCCGAGCAGCAGAAACAGAAGGCTGAAACGCCTTTACCTCTGCTTTTGCTTGCTGCTCGGCTCTTCCTTTCACATTTGTTTGTGCAGTGTACCTTAGCCAGCCCGAATCCTTCAGGAACCTCTTCCACAGTTAAGGGCAGTGTGCCAACCCCTTGGATACGCCACTGTGTAAAAGCTGCTACTGCAGAGTGCTTCTGCTGCAGCCGAGAGGGGCAGGTATATGGTCCTGCCTCCTGGAAAAAGCTATCTAGAAAAAGAGAGCTCTGATCAAGTTTTTAATCGTATTCGCCACACTGAAATGGCATAGAAAATCCCCTTTGAAAGATGCGTTTCACTCTTTTGCATGTTTTGTATGTAAGCCCATTTGATTTTTAATTAAATAATCATAGTAGGGGGACAGATAAATGTGTCAGTTGTTTAAAAAGGTTACAGGATAAATCAATCCTGTCTCTCCTGTAGAGATCCATTTTTGAAGAGCGTTTGCACTGACTGCGGTAATTACCTTGTAACCAAGACACCCCGTTGTTTTTAAATAACAACAAAAGGAGAGAGTGGGAACCGCTGCCCGCCGGGTGCGGCCGGGGACGCTGTTATTACGGTCGAACTCCATTAAGAGATTAATGTGCTTAGAACTGCGGGCACGAGGAGCGTGAGAAGAGGCGGCCGGGAGCGGAGAGCATCCATCAGCCGCCCGGGCCGTGCGGAGCGGAGCGGAGCGGAGCGGCCGGGAGCGCTCTCCCGTTAGCCCGTGCCGAGCCCCTTCTGCCGGGGCGAGGAGAGCTGGGACACTCCTGGGGCTGGGACACCCTCGGGGCTGGGACACCCTCGGGGATGCGACACTCCTGGGGCTGGGACGCCCTCGGGGCTGCGACACTCTCCGGGCTGGGACACTCCTGGTGCTGGGGCACCTTCGGGGATGCGACACTTCTGGGGCTGGGACACTCCTGGGGCTGCGACACTCCTGGGGCTGCGACACTCTCGGGGCTGGGACACTCCTGGGGCTGGGACACCCTCGGGGCTGCGACACTCTCGGGGCTGGGACACCCCTGGGGCTGGGACACCCTCGGGGCTGCGACACTCTCGGGGCTGGGACACCCTCGGGGCTGCGACACTCCTGGGGCTGGGACACTCTCGGGGCTGGGACACTCTCGGGGCTGCGACACTCTCGGGGCTGGGGCACTCTCGGGGATGCGACACTCCTGGGGCTGCGACACTCTCGGGGCTGGGACACCCCTGGGGCTGGGACACCCCTGGGGCTGGGACACTCCTGGGGCTGGGACATCCTCGGGGCTGCGACACTCCTGGGGCTGGGACACTCCTGGGGCTGGGACACCCCTGGGGCTGGGGCACTCTCGGGGATGCGACACTCCTGGAGCTGGGACACTCCTCGGGCTGGGACACCCTCGGGGCTGCGACACTCTCCGGGCTGGGACACTCCTGGGGCTGGGACACCCTCGGGGCTGCGACACTCCTGGAGCTGGGACATCCTCGGGGCTGCGACACCCTCGGGGCTGGGCTGACGCCCGGCGGCCGCGGGAAGAACAGCCGAGGCGGGCTGTGCCCTTGGCCCCTTTCCCTCGGCAGCCACACGAGGGAGAAGATGAAGGGAGCGCGTTTTGGCAGGGACGGGCACCGATGTCGGTCCCAGAGCTGCGGCCCGGAGCTCCCGGAGCTTTCCACCGCTAATCCCCGGAGAGTCACAGCAGGGCTCAGGCTGGAAGGGACCACCATGGGTCATCCTGTCCCACCTCCCTGCTCAGTCAGGGTCATCGCAGAGCACATGGCACGGCAATGCATCCAGGCAATTCTGGAATATCTCCATAAAGGGAGACTTCACACCTTCTCTGGGCAATCTGTTTCAGTGCATGGTCACCGCACAGTAAAGAAGTTCTTCCCCCTGTCCAGGTGGAACTTCTTGTGCGTCAGTTTCTGCCCGTTGCCTCTTGTCCTATTGCTTGGTACCACAGGGCAGAGCCTGCCTTTATCCTCTTAGCACCTCCCTTTAGGTATTTGTGCACATTAAGGAGGTCCCCTCTCAGTCCTCTCTTCCCAGGGCTGAACAGACCCTTCTCGGTAGGAGATGCTCCAGCCCCCCAGCCACGCCCGCTGCCCCCGCCCGGCCCGGCAGCCGCCGCTGACCTGCGGCAGCGACTACACGTCCCGGCGGCCCGCGGGCCGGGGATGCTCCCGGGGCGGCCCTTCCGCTGCCGGGCGGCTCCATCCCGGCTTTCCGGTGCCTGCCCGAGCGGAGCGGAGCCGGGCCCCGGCGGGGGCGGTGGCGGCGCTGGAGCCGGAGGCCGAGGCGGAGGCGTGCGGGGCCGGGCAGAGCCCTGCGGCCGGTGCCATGAGGGCCGAGCCGCCCGCCTGGGCCCCGGGGCCGGCGCAGGCGGCCGCGCTGCTGGAGGAGGCGGCAGACCTGCTGGTGCTGCACCGCGACTTCGCCGCCGCCCTGGAGCGCTGCGAGGCGGGCTGCGACAGCCTGGGCCCCGTTCCCGTTCCCGGCCCCGTTCCCGGCCCCGTTCCCGGCCAGGAGAGGTGCGTTCCCGGCCCCGTTCCCGGCCCCGTTCCCGGCCCCGTTCCCGGCTCCGGCCCCGTTCCCGGCCAGGAGAGGTGCGGGCCCGGCCCCGTTCCCGGCTCCGGCCCCGGCCCCGTTCCCGGCCCCGGCCCCGTTCCCGGCCAGGAGAGGTGCGGGCCCGACCCCGTTCCCGGCTCCGGCCCCGGCCCCGTTCCCGGCCCCGGCCCCGTTCCCGGCCCCGGCCAGGAGAGGTGCGGGCCCGGCGGCTCGTTCGGAGCGGACGGGGAGTTGCTGGGAAGCTGCTCGGTGCCGCATCAGCGCCGGGCTGGCTTCCACCTTCAGGCCACGCCTGCACTGCTTTGGGGTTTCTTTTAGCCCTTTTGTCGATATGAACGTGTTTCATCTGTGCGTTTTTTTGAGGGAAGTGCGGCGTGCCCAGGAGCCTTCCCTTCGTTCTCTCAGAGACAGAGTCACAGTGCATATCCTCGGAGGTCGAATTGGCCTTTTTGTAGGGGCAAGTAGAGAGGAAAGAGGGGAAGCAGAGAACTGTGTGGTACCAGGGCTGCACTGAAGCTCACTGCAAGGGATGCAAGGGGAAATATGGTTGTAAGAAGCGCTTATTTAGCTTGTCTGTTCCTTACCAGTTTTGCAGAAGTGAAATGCTCCCTTTGTGTTGTGGGGATTCAGGCGCTGGCTGAGATGAACCGGTGGAGAGAAGTTCTGTCTTGGGTCCTACAGTACTACCATGTCCCTGAACATCTGCCTCCAAAAGTTCTGGAGTTGTGGTGAGTTTCTGTCTGTTGCTGTCGGATATACACATGGGGCTCGTGTTAGGTTTAATTGCAGGCCAGGCTTGGGTACTATGTGATATTTTTGTTATAAACAAAAATTTGTCCAGCCAAATTAAAATGAAAAATAAAGTACTTATTTTGCAATCAAATTCTATCTAGCCAGCCACAAGGAAAGAACAGTGCTGAGCCCGGGGTCAGCCCTGGGTGTGCAACAAGAAGTCAGCCTCAGCAGAGGTTTTCCTCCATGCCCACACATTTCCATCCTGGCATACGGAAAATTCTGTCTGAGGCCAAGATTTCAGCAGTCAGTCTTTTCTTCTATTCAGAGTCTATAGGTTAATAAGATTTTCTTTTTTGGTGATGAAGAAGAACAAGATTTCAGCAGTCAGTCTTTTCTTCTATTCAGAGTCTATAGGTTAATAAGATTTTCTTTTTTGGTGATGAAGAAGAACAATTCAGTGTCCAGGAGTTGTTGAATCCCTTGATGAAGTTTACAGGGAACTGGGGTCCCCGTATCTCTCCACACATGGCCCATCTCCTGGCCGAGTCATGTCCTTGTCCTTTTACGTGTAAATCGGGTTCTAATATACACTAGGTCTCACCTGTAAGGGTGGGGGGGACTCTTAATACAAACGTGTATACTCCAACAAATATTCAATATCACATATATCATACTAGAAATGGCGCAAATTATATCTATTACACATAATATTTTCACTTTTTGTGGTGTGAATGAGATCTGGGACAGGCCTTTTCTCTGTGTGCTGGAGCATGCCTGCAAGATTGCTTCATGGTGACCAAGTCTAAAAGGGGTGATGCTGAGAGAGTAACATCAATAGCCACACCTGTTTTCTGTCTCAGAATTCTCTCTGTGTTTTGATCTTGACCCTGACTGATACCTCATGAGAGCTGCTCGTGGGTGGTAGGTGTCAGTGATGTCAGCTTCCACAAAGACTCAGGATTTTCTCATACTTCTCCCTTGCATCTCAGTCTCCTGCTGTACAGCAAAGTGGGAGAGCCGCAGGTGATGCTGGAGGTGGGCAGCAGCTGGCTGAGAGCCCAGGGCAATGAGAGGCTCCCCGAGTTCGGGTCGCTGCTGGAGCTGTACCTGGCGCAGGTGCTGCTGCCCCTGGGGCGCTTCGAGGGCGCGGAGGAGCTGGTGAGGGGCTGTGCCGTGTTCGACAGCGAGCAGCAGCTGGAATTCCTCGGCACCATCGGCGAGAGCCGCTGCCGCTGGACGCAGCGGGAAGAGACACGCTCGGCTGCTGAGGAGCAGCAAGACCCAGCCACAGAAACTCTTCTAGGTGGGCTTTCCCTCTGTTGTTTGTGCTCCTTTTTTACAGTTTCGTTTCAAGCTGGTCCCTTACTGGCAAAGGGTAGCAAGTATTAGCTTCATATTAAGAATATTGCCATGATAAACAGGCCATGAGGAAGTTCCATTGTGTATCACAGCAGGAAATAAAAGACTTAGTGATACCTTTGCTGAGAATTTCAAAGCATATTTAGTCTCTGCCAACATCAGAAGATGACAATTAATGCCCAGGATTGAAAACACTGTGGAGGTTTTGGTTTGTTTTTTTTTTTTTTTAAGTAAAAAAGGCTACCTGGCAATACTTTAAGGATGTGTTTTGTTGGCTCCATGTACAGTTTGCTTCATTTCCATTTATAGTTGAGTCCAAGGAGAACAATGCCGGTCTAACATTTAAAGTACTGCTTCTTCTCCAGAGCTGTAAATCATTTGCTGTTTTCTCCCAGGACAGAAGCTGGCACTACTGTGGTATAAGATCATATTTTATAGTAGAGTAGATGCCTAAAAAAGAAGTATAATGAAGTTTATTACAGAATTGTACTCTTTCTCTGTTGTATAAAAAACCAAACCAAACCCAACCCAACCCAACTCTCATGCAATCAGACTTCCAGTATCGTAGTTTCTTACTGGCTATATCTGTGTGATTACTTTTTAAACTTTACTTTGCCCTAACAGCCTTTCTATTCTTATTTTCCAGGAGTGCTGTCCCAAAAGCTCCTGACCATGTTGACATTACTACGTAGAGCACTGAGGTCCATGTCAAACCACTTCTATTTACTTCCTTACAAGAAGATGCTCTTGGCTACTTTTTTGCTGTACCTGGTGGTGGTGAGATTAGACCCAGGTACAGGATTAAGTTTTCCAATGTTTGAATTTCCATTATGGTTATGGAGAAGAAATGAGTTGCTTTTAATAAATCTGATCTGTGTAAATGTCTCAGGGAGACAAAAAATCTGGGTGACTAGGAACTTAATGTGTTTAATGTTTCCAGTTGAAGTGCATGTAGAAAGAAGCTCCACAAATGCCAGTTTTCTGCATACTCTTTCCAGCAGCCAAGGTACAGACTGTGAGAGGCAGGCAGAGCTGTCCTAGACTCAGCCTTTTCCTCATTGAAGGAAGGAAGAGAACTAGGTTTTTATTAATTCTAGTTGGGGGTAGTTATTTCTTAATATGTTTAGTGTATGCTAGTTTTACCTAGTTAATTTTGCTAAGTTGGTTTTACCTTTTTGTTCTGCTTTGCAGCTTCTCCCACATCACTGCCATTCATTTACAAACTGGTCCAGCTCTTCCGACAGGCTTGGGCAGCTGTGCTTTCTCCAATCCATAGGCCTCCAATTCGAGACTAAGTGTCTTCCTCCCCTCAAAGTGTCACCTTGGCTTGGGCATGTTACCAGGCTCTTCAGGGGCTGTTCAACTCTGAGATGTAGACTCCTGGAATTTCTTCAGACAGGGAATGGTGGTGTATGAATTTCGAAGCCACAGCAAGCATTCCTGACATTTTGCTTGGTCCTGTCCAACACTAGGGTACAGCCACTCTGTCCATACTACAACTGAATAAGAATCCTCCTTTTCAAACACTTTGCTTTGGATGTGTCTCTTGAGTGAGGGTTGTGTAGCCAGTTATGAACTATGGAAGAAGTTCTTATCCTTGCAAACGCTGAGCAAGTGTTCTCTGAGCAAGTGCAATTCCTGCAATTCCCTAATCACACCAGTGATTAGGGGAATATTCTCTTTTCCCTGAAGACATCTGAAAAGCCCAGTTCCTGCAGCATGGGATTTAGGACAAGCACATGAAAGAAAAACACTGGAGAAATGAAAGCCTATTGCATTTTGAAAGCCATGTTTTTTCTCTTGTGACTGATGCCTCTTTGGACAGGCACACTGGATTTTAGTCATATTTAAGCCAGAAAGATGAGGAGTTGGGCCAAAAAGACTGTTGTGTTGTATCTACTCTTCTTAAATGCAAATTACAGCACTCAGTGCTTGTCTGATACATAGTCATTCCTAGAAGCACTTGGTGGTGGTGGTAAGGAAATAAGTTTATTTTTTTAAATTATATTCTATGTTATTGTCTAGTTGAACAACTGAAGTTGTGGCTTTGTTTTGCTCTTTCCCTACCTCTTGCTTTGTTTATGTAGATGTCAAAAAGTCTCTCTGTATATCTAGAATTGCTCCCCAAGCCTCAGTATCCGAAGTTCTGGGTTAGATGGGAGTCATTTAGCAATGCTCTGTCATTCAGAACAAAAGTTTATTTTTCATAGAAAGAGATACTTCTCTGACATCACAAGACCTTCCCGAGATCATTGGTAAGAAAATTGTGCACCTGCAGGTCAGTCACCAGACAGCTTCATTTCTGACCACTTGGGGCAGAAATTGGAGGTTTGGGGTGGAATATTAATTTCTCCTCCATCCATTCATCCATCTATCATCAGCTGACAAAAGGTAAATTCCAAGGAGGGAACACTGATCTAAAAAAATACTGCTTTTAAACTGTTGTGTGCTGGAGGGGACAAGTTGAAGGCAAGAAGCCTGGGACAAATTTACCTCTGTCATCCCAGCAGCTGTGCCAAAATGGTGCAAACTCAGTGATGTCAGCCCAAACGACAAAATGTTGTCAGAGCAGCCTTTTTGGTGAGATCTGTTCCTTTGCTCCCTCCTGGGGCACTTAGCAAACTGTCTCATCTTCACTACTAAAAACAGTTGTCTGTTTCATCTTAAATTATCCCAAAAAGAGCTACACCCCAGCATTATTGTCAGACAAACTCAGGTTATTTGTGAGTGTAATAATAACCTTTCCTAGTTGTCTCAAGAGATTTTAAAACCCAAACCAATCCCATATACATGCCTCCCCAAAGTTTTTGTCTCTACACCAGGTTAAGTAGCACATATTTCCATATAAAAAAGTAATTTCTGATATACTCTGCACACACAGGGAAGAGCAGCCTTTGATACTGCTTTGGTATTGATATTTCAGTTTATTACTGAAACCAACATTTAATGTGAAATCAGATAGAATGAAACACAGAAGCTCTGTCTGGAGATGAGCTCTTCCAAGAAATGACCAGGATCAGTCCTCTGCCCCTTGCTTTGCAAGGCCTCTGGTTAAATCCTTTGTAAGCCAGTTAATGAAATGGCAAACTTCACTCTGAAGTCAGGCCAAATTCTTATCAAAGTGACTGTTAGGTAATGAACACTTTTTGCTGTAATCTTCTGGCATCATTTTTAGTTGGATGGCAGAGATGCTGTTTTGGAGGTTGGTTTGGACCAATGGTTTCAGCAGGCCATACATTTTAGGATGCTGTTAAGTGTCCTTTACTAGGACTTTTAACATTCAACTTTTAAGTGTAGGTTGGTAACCTTGAATTTATTGGAGTACTACTGATTTAGAATTTATATTGTTTTTAATTCATCATGAGAAAGCAAGAAGGCAGAAATAAGCTATCAGGGTTTTTTTTGCAATTAATACTGAAGCTGCAGTATCTAATTTTTATAATAAAGTGACTACTGATTTACCTCTGTAGAGTTGCTTGTTTGTGCTGTGATTTGAGTATATGAAAAAAAGAAGTATGTGTTGTATTGATACACTACAAAGTGTATCAAAGTTTTCAAGAATTGTTTCACATTGTTTCATAGTTTCAGCATATTTGAATTAAGTAGAGAATGTCTTCAGTGTGAATCTGATGAGATTTAATCCACTGATGATGTTGGTAGAGTGTAAGTCTGCATTTTGGCATGGCCAAGACCAATACTACCAAGAATAAAGTATCTGGTATTCATCATTATTAGATGAATGTATCTTTATATTATTTATAACTACATTATATATTATATATATAATACTATATATTATATTACTACAGTTCTGACCTTACTGTATTAGGGGAGAAAATTATACAAATAAAAAGTAAAAATACATAGCACAGTTCTCTGTTTCAGGGATAATGCCTGAAAACCAGTATTTTTATCAATGTAGCAGTGTTATACAGGTACTTCATTACTAGGTTTGGGAAGTTCAGAAATTCTGAAATGAGATGCTGCTGGTTCTCCCAGCAGGTGGCAACAGACTAAGAGAAAACCATTATACAGGGAACACAAGGAAAGTGTTTAAATCTTCATTCACTTACTGAGGAAGGTATTAAAATGTGTGGGAAATGCAAAGACACGTCTCAAATGAAAAGCAAAAGAGGATTTTGTGTGACTCTTCTGATTTAGTGCTCAATTGCCAGCTGGGGTTAAATCAGTACAATAGTACTTCTGAGTTCTAGATTATTCAAAAATGCCATTTTCAGAGATGTGTCTATTTTTAATTAGAGAAAAAGGCTTTAGGTTTCATATGGCAGCTCACCATCTGCCCACAGAGGTCGAATGCCAGCATCCTGAAGATGATTTACTTTCCAAGAATCCAGGTCCAGGCCATATCTGCCTCATGTCTCTATGGACTCCCACTGGCAGAGAAAATGCCACAAAGGACTGTTGCAAATAATTTCGTAATTCACAGACCTCTTTTAGATTTTGTTGCTGCTAGATCTGATACATTGACTTAAAGTGTGCCTAAGAGGTGGTGGGTGGTGGACTGCTCAAAGTATTTGCTTTGAGACCTTTTTCTGATTCTCTGAAGCTGTGAGCATTAACATTTCAGATGTCCAGAGCATTAGAGCTTGTCTGGAATGTTAACCACTTCCACTAGAAGAAAAACACTAGAGCAACCTATTCTTTATTCTCAGAGCAATGATCTAATGGTTTTCTGAAGAACTCTGAAATTCAGCTTAAGCAAAGCAGCAGATGGAAATTATCATGGATATTCTTTGTTTAAAAACAATTATGGCTCCAGAAATTATGGCTCTGTAGCTTTTCCCAGCCAAAATCAAAGAGTAATTATTTGCAGGTTTATGTAAAGAACAGCAAAATGAAGACTATACCAAAGTGAGTTTATAAAAACCAGTATGAATTAGTTCTCACTGTTAAAATGTAGGTGTTAAAGAAGGTACTTCTGTGTTGCCAGCAGTGGCAGAACAATTTATTAATATCATCATGACAAAGTAGATTAACCTACATTTTAGGAATTGTTTATTTAATGTCTGCTGATTAAACATAATAAACAGTACATTTATAAAGTCTGGGGATACATGACACAGATTCAAGCAATTAAGTACGTCTTCCTCTTTGTTACCTAGGGGTTGCAAACACGAGGAATTCTCTGCTGAGAGAAGCTGCTGCTTTCCAGTGGTGAACTAGTGCAGAAAGAGCAAAGTGGTGGAGGCAACTGCACTAATTTGGTGTCAGAATGTTCCAGATAATAAACACTTCAATAAGAATCAAATTTCTTTTTGTTTGAGCAGAGAAGTGAGAGTCTGTACTGCAAGCTGACAGCCTGGATGACTGCACATGGAAAGAGAAGTAATAGAATTGAAATGTTAATAGAGAAGCCAGATCATTTAAAAGTGCTATAGAGCACACTTAAGCATGGTAATTATGTTTACTTTCCAGATCTCTATTTTTGTTTTTCTTCTATCCTTCTCTTTTCCATTCATTTGCTCTCTTATGCCTCCTGTACTGGAATTTAGGTGCGATTTTCACCTACAGAAGGACGTGTTGGCAGAACGGGGAGCTGGGCTGGCGTGTGCGTTGCAGGTGATGTAAAACCCCGAGGTGTGAGCAAGCACAGCGTAAACACAACGTGTTAGATGGCCACACTCCAAATCAATCAGCGTGCCAGGCCTGGCTGCACTGGGTTGGAAGCCTGGGGTGTCGGTGAGCCCGGTGGGTGTGCACAGGAGGGGTGCTGGGGGCAGCAGGGTGACCTCGTGCCGTGACGCTGAAGCGCAGCAGCAGGTGCCAGGGCCAGGCTGCCTCCTGCCCTGCAGCCCAGAGCCAGGCTCCGGCACAGACCTGCCACCAGCGCTCCCAAAGGGAGAGAAACACCTCTGCAGACACCATGGTAAGGGGGATTATATTATTTTTTAATCCCACTATAGTGGGATTATAAAATATATTCGATATGGAGTCTTAGTTGTTTGGTACTTTCTGTTGTGGCCACCTTTTCTCAACACCAGTTCATTTTCATACAGGACAATTTTTTTTTAGAAACAAACCAAAAAAAGTTATTAACCTTTGTGTGTGTTTCAAATTAATTTAGCCCCAGTGGCTATACTGTCCACAGCTATGCAGGATATGCATGTGTTTTTCTGGAGTCCATGAATCGTTTTATATATATGTGTGTTTGAATAAGTGAAAAAGTGCCCTTTGTTTTTAAGTGTTGGGCGTTTGTTATAAACTTGTAGAAATCTTTCAAAACCTCTTAGAATATGAAAAAATCCATTTCACCTTGTACCCCAGTATATCTCTAGCACTGAGTCTAATTTTGGTGCAGAGGAAGAGCTATGATACTTTCTGCCAGCTCATCTCACAAGCAAAATACTTGCATGGGCTTCCCAGACCTAGGGAAGTGACAGTGTTTCTGGAACAGCTGGAAGACTGAAGTCTGCCTTTTGCAGTAAATCCTGGAGACAGGTATTAATTTGTATTTTTAAGAGTCAAAGCTATCCCAAAGGTTTAGTTTCAAAAAGGATCTGGTCCTTTCTATTGTTTCTTTATTAGACCTGTCCTGGATCTACAGACATTAGTGGTGGGTTGTGAAACATGAGTTTGGAATAGGCTCCAAATTAAAATATCACATAAAGATCAGTTTACTCTGACTGTGACGCTGAAGAAGGCCCACCCTCTTCCCTCATGAAAGTCTGGCATCTATTTTAATGCTGTTCACTATGCAAAGTCAGAAACCTCTTCTTCACTGTCTTTGCTCTTTGGCAGAGTATTTCCAAATTCCAGAGTATTTCCTGCTGGGGAAGAAGATGAAATGGCTCAAAATGCAGAGTTGAGATATAGTTTCAAACTAGTGCAGCTGAAAAACTCAGTCTGAAATGTCTTCAACTACAGTCCTGTATGAAGCTTTACAATATTAACTTCCTAAGGCAGCATTTACTTGTTCTATCTGTGAAAAAACAGACCAATTCCTCTACATACCTAAAGAAGTGAGCAAAGCAGCTCTTCGAGTTTAAAATACTGCTTGACTTGTAATTGTTGTTTTACTTTAAAAGATATCCTTTTTAAAAGCCAGCTGGCCTCATTGCTGTGTTTGAAAAGAAAAGAAACATTTATTTTTCTTGCTGCCTGCCAGTCTCACAGATTCACAGTGGGATTTGAAAGCAAAGGCAGGAGCCTGCCCTGTGGAAAGTCAGCATTAATTGAATTCTCTAAGCCCAAATATGCCTTAGGTGTCTCCTGAATAATCCTCCAAATTGCAACACACTGACTTAAGAAGCCCCATTGTCACTCAGCTCAGAGACTTTTGCACAACTCAATTGACAAAAACAGCGTTGTGCAAGTACACTTGAGAGCTCATGCATTTGCAGAGTCAGCAAAAAAATTCATCTTAGAAATAAGTACTAAATCAAAATAATTTATTTCCTTGAATGAAAGATTTAAGTTGAGCTTTCATGTTCATTTGAACTCCTGGAGATGACTAACTGGGGCAGTGCTGACTTTTTAAATTCTAGTTGCTTCTGGGAAAATGTCTTCAGTTATGTTTCTTAAACACAAATATATGTCAATTTGTGAAGAAAACACTGCTCCAGAGATTTTGCTGGTGACACATTGTGGCTGAAAATTTAGTTTTTGGGAAGGATACATTTAATTCTCAGATCACAGAATGATTTTGCTAGGTAAGAAGTTACAGAATTTCATTTAAAAAAACAAAAAAAAAAACCTGGTCAAATCTAATAGTGCCATTGGTTATCTCTAAATGCAATATTACAAAACAAGAATGAGTGAGAACCATCCTCTGCCCTTAAAGCCAGGCCTGCTTCATAGCTGGGCATCTCAATTCTCCTTCCCTCTCCAAAGCCTGGCAGTGGTCAGTGAGCTGCTCACTGGAAACCATTCTTGACAATGAGTTGTTTTCTGCATAGTGCTCAAGCATTGTCTGGAAAAATATTAACTGGCCTAAGCCAAAACTGTGCCAATTTTTTGAATTATCAATCAGCACAGGAGATGACAGGGTCAGTACTATGACCTGACTTTTTTTTTTTACTCCCTAGGATAGACAGGGCCCTGGGGATCACAAAACCAGAGCTCAGGCAGCTTTAATTGCTCCAAAGCAGAAACCAAATCTGAAAAAATACACATACATGAAACCACTCTCTCCTCAAAAAACTTTTCACTACACACTACACCCAGTGGTGCAATTACTGGGACTAACCCAGAAGTATTTGCTTTATAATTCTGCTTGTGAACTTATGAAATCCAACACCAAGGCCTTCATGTTCCTGTACTTTTAACTGTACAGGATTTTAGAGCAATTGGCACCTGCCTACTTTAGCCTGGTGTTACAGAGTTTTCTCTTCCTGGCTGCTACAGAAACAATGCTGGAAATCATGCAGATACTGCAATGGCACTGCCTGACAAGCAATGGACCCGTGATGTAAAATTAATGCCTGCTCAGGAGCTGGAAGGAAGATTTGTTTTGACCAGAAAAATCTGGAATAATTACCTTAGGTGAAAGCAAATCTTCCAAGTTTCCATGCTAGCCTGCTATCAGAGGGTAGAAGGATCAAAAGGCATCACCTGCCTTGGGTTACATAAGGGTGAAGGATGCCACATGGCTGTGTCAGGTTCCAGCCAGGAGTAAAAATAAACTAAACTGGGAAGTGCTTCTCAGCAGAGCCAATCCAGGAAGAAAGGTGGGGTTTGTGTAATTGAAATTGATTTTTCCTGACTCTTTTAATATGCTTCTGTAGTATAGCACACAGATCTCAATTTTTTAAAGAACTGTCCCAGTATCTGGCATGTGCATGTGTAATCTCATTGTGGTCATGGGACTGAACAACCAAATGAACATCTGACAGTGACAATTCACTGATTTTTCGGAAAAGCAATATACTGGGAAAAGGTAACCACCAGGAATAAGGAGGGTTAAGGTACACTGATTTTTCTGACCCTGCCTCTCCTCTCTCCCCTCAGCGTGAGTGCATCTCTGTTCACGTTGGCCAGGCTGGAGTGCAGATAGGAAATGCGTGCTGGGAACTCTTCTGTCTGGAGCATGGCATTCAGCCTGATGGCACCTTCAAGGACCTGCAGGACAAACTCAGCTCTGATGACTCTTTTACCACATTTTTCAATGAAACAGCCACTGGGAAGCACGTGCCACGGGCTGTAATGGTGGACTTGGAACCAACTGTGGTAGGTCAGTATAGAAACAAACCTGCAAAATGGAGATGAGATTGCTTTCCCCCATATCAGCGTGCTGTGTCACCAGTCTTCACTGGCACAAAGTGGCCCTTTGCACCTCAGGCTACCACTAGGTAGCATTAAATTAATTTTCTTGTGACACAGGATGCCAGATTCTATCACAGGTGTCACAAACATAAGAACAAGAGGATCCCCAGCAGTTTAATAGTTTGTACATACAGTGTGTACAACTTATCTTTGCATCAATAATTAACTTTTTGTTTATCATTACATTTTTGCCATTCAGTTTGGATTCAAAGCGGGACCCTGACTGCTTCCCTCCAAGAATAGAAGAATGTCTAAAAATTGGGACACCTGAATTTCTTCACACTTTTTTTTTTTTTTTTCTGGGGACTTGTGGATGCAGGCTGTACTTGTCACTGACAAGCTCATGAGAAGCTAAGTGGCTGGATTGAAGATGCACAATAAATCAAACAAATGCAACAATGAAAAAATGCTCCAGAGACATTTCCCTTCTCCATCAGCATCATGAGCTCCTGTGACTGAGGGCGTGCACCGGTGCCAACAACAACTAGAATTTGTTGGCACTGGAGCATATTCTTACAATTTCTCTTTCTTTTTCAGATGAAGTACGGGCTGGCACCTTCCGGGAACTTTTTCATCCAGAACAGCTGATCACTGGAAAGGAAGATGCAGCCAATAACTATGCCCGTGGCCACTACACCATTGGCAAGGAAAGCATTGATATGGTGCTGGATCGTGTCCGTAAACTGGTAAGTCCCAGTAGTACTGAAACAGCAGTTTGGACTCCTCAGATGAAAGAAGAGCAGAACTAACAGCTTGTTAATTGCAAATGATATCAGAAAAGAGATTGCAAGTCACACAGATGGTATCTTGGACGTGGTATAGAAGAGAGAAGCCCAGTAGCTCACTTGCCAGCTGCATGCCTCCAGGCATTTTTATAAAGTGGTTACAAATATATAATTTTTAATTACTAGCACAGCCCTACAGCACCAATTCTGATACTGAAGGGTGGGCCATGCAGTTGTACTTTGCTGGTTTCAGCTAGAATAACAGAGCCGTGTGAAGTTCAGAGAGAGAGGGGCCCGGACAGATCCCTATGTCACAAGCTAAGACAGTCAGGAAAGCAAAGGTTGGAACTATCACCAACCCTTTCCCAGGAAAACGTGACATGAAATCTATGCTGTATACTGCCTAGGACTGCTCACTCCTTCAGCTCACAGAGCAAAGTCTTTCCCACCTTTTTCAGCTGCTGCTGTTTCACTTTCTCTTTTGCCTTCTAGACTGATGCCTGTTCTGGGCTGCAAGGATTCCTGATCTTCCACAGCTTTGGTGGTGGTACTGGCTCTGGATTTACCTCCTTGCTGATGGAACGCCTCTCTGTGGATTACGGAAAGAAGTCCAAACTGGAGTTTGCCATCTACCCAGCCCCTCAGGTCTCCACTGCTGTGGTGGAACCCTACAATTCCATCCTGACCACGCACACCACACTGGAGCATTCCGACTGTGCCTTCATGGTGGACAACGAGGCCATCTACGACATCTGCCGCCGGAACCTGGACATCGAGCGGCCCACCTACACCAACCTGAACCGCCTCATCAGCCAGATCGTGTCCTCCATCACCGCCTCGCTGCGCTTCGACGGCGCCCTCAACGTGGACCTGACGGAGTTCCAGACCAACCTGGTGCCCTACCCACGCATCCACTTCCCCTTGGTGACCTACGCCCCCATCATCTCCTGCGACAGAGCGCACCACGAGCAGCTCTCGGTGGCCGAGATCACCAACGCCTGCTTCGAGCCCAACAACCAGATGGTGAAGTGTGACCCGAGGCACGGCAAGTACATGGCCTGCTGCATGCTCTACCGCGGCGACGTCGTCCCCAAGGACGTCAACGTGGCCATTGCTGCCATCAAGACCAAGAGAACCATCCAGTTTGTCGACTGGTGTCCGACAGGCTTCAAGGTGAGTAGGGCTGCCACAAGCTTCTCTTTAGTGTTGAAAGGGGAGGTTCAGTCTAGTAGAAAACTTGTATTTTTAAAGTTTTCTATCTCATCTATTTCTCCTATTTGCCCCGGAACACAGGGGAATATAGATATTTCCCAATGAACTTAAGAAGGATGCATTTATATAAAATGTGCCTTTTCTCCTTTGTACATCCCATTGACACAGGTTCTTACATATTTAAGTAAGTGGAAATTCAAAGTGTGTATGGGTTAAAATTGAAAGAAGTTTTAATTTCAGATCTGATCTTTGGAACAGCCAATGAGCATTGCCTCTGAGGCACAATCTAAAACTGAGGAAATACCAAAGCTGATAAAATTAATAAAGGAAGTTCTGATATTAGGGAATCTCTTAGTTAACCTAGAAATATTATACAGCCTCTCCCCACTGGTTACACAGCAGTGTCTGGAAATATATTTTCAACAATAATACAGACATTACCAGTGGAAAAGTATTTATCATACAAACAGCTCCTTCAACAATGAAAACTTCCAACTGGGAACCAGCTTTTAAGTTAGTTTCTACAGAGTATCTTGGTGAAACTCTGTGTTCAGTAGCTGTTAAGAAAGCTACAAACTCGTCAGTGTGCATTAAGCAGTAGAATAGTACAGCTATTAGGGTGTGTTTCATGCTCTTTGACATTTGTAATGGCATTTGCCATCTGGCACCACTCTACTCCAACATCTGTAACTTCAGCTCTTTGACTGCCTCCTGCTCCTGCTGCTTTACAGCCTTGTCTCACATTCCCATTTCCAGGTTGGGATCAACTACCAGCCTCCTACAGTTGTTCCTGGTGGAGACCTGGCCCAGGTTCAGCGGGCGGTCTGCATGCTGAGCAACACCACGGCCATCGCCGAGGCTTGGGCAAGGCTTGACCACAAGTTTGACCTGATGTACGCCAAGAGAGCTTTTGTGCACTGGTATGTGGGTGAGGGCATGGAGGAGGGAGAGTTTGCAGAGGCCAGAGAGGACCTGGCTGCCCTGGAAAAGGACTATGAAGAAGTGGGAACAGACTCGTTTGAAGAAGAGAATGATGGGGAGTGATTTTAAAATACATTTTGTTCCTGGTGAGCACAGAATTGTCTCTGCATCACTGTACTGCATGCGTCAACAATTAGGTCAGCTTTTCTGTATGTTACATTTATGAACATAAATTTAGGGGAGGACATTTTTTATTACATAAATGACAGGCAAATTATCCTGTATAATATCATCAGTTGTAGTAGTGCCCCACCACCCCCAGTAATGTGAAAAGTCTTGTTCTCCCTTGCACACTTAATGTGAGCCTCTCTAAGCTCTAGTGTACATGATAAACTCACTACATACCATGGAGGTCATCCCAAAAAGCTGAAGAGCTTCCTGCTCCTGCATAAGCCAACAGGGACACCACAGACACCTGCCAAAGCCAGGATTCTATGGAATCGAATGGAATCCCACTCTGCGGGATGTTTGGAAATTCATGGCAATCAGGTGAAGTCCCAGGGGACTGGAAAAAGAGAAACAGTGTCCCCAGTGTTAAAAAGGGCAGAAAGGAGGCTCCTGGTGGCTGCCAACCTCTTGGCCTCACCTCTGTGCCTGGGAAGATGGTGGAAGAAGAAATCTACCCTTATGCTAAGGCATAAGGAGGGTAGATTTAATTGGATGCTCATGGAAAAATTAATTGGGCACTTATGCATGAAGTACCTAGATGCTCATGCATACACTAATTGGGAATTTATTAACACCTCTGTGCAAAAAATGAGATATTGGCCTGCTTTTTGATTAGGTTCTCCTACATGCATTGTAGGAGATTGTGATCCTCCTTGCTCATTTCAGAATCTGGATTTTGTTTTTTTATGATGCTAATACAGAATTCCTTTCAAGAAGGATCTATAAAAAGTAAGGCAATTCTTAGAAATACCCAAGTTGCCTTTCTTTCAAGACTGAACTTTCAGACCTGAAAACCTTTGTGGGACTGATTCTGCCAGATTTTCTCTCAACAAGTAAGACAATAGCTGTTCTTTGTTCACAGTTGTGTTCATAAATTCTCAGTTAATTAACACACGAGTGTTAATTACCTTACATTTCCCACCCTTTCCCCCTTATATTTCTCATCCTTCTTCCACCTCATGTTTTCTGCCCCCTTTTCTTCTCCTTTTTCATCTCACATTTCCTGCCATTTTTCTCTCTTTTTCTGCCCTTTCCCCCTCTGTTTAAATACCAAATGTTGAAAAAAGGGAGATTTTCCCTTCAATTAAACCCTAAATAATGGAAAAGGCAAGTTAAAATCACAGGTGAAGGTGGATCCCCTTCAATTTAAACACATAGAATAATGAAAAAGTAGGTTTTGCCCTCAATTTAAACTCCTTTTCCATCAAACTCCTCTTTTTTCTGAGGTCATTGGGGCACACAGGGGAGGGACTGGGCAGAGGACTGGAGGCACTGTGAGGGGATTGGGAAGATGAAATAAAAAAGAGAATGAAAAAGGATCTTCCCTGTGCTGCCGCACCTGCTCAGGTGTGCTGCTCCCCTCTCCTGCCCGGGGGCACAGGGATTGTCCCTTTGCACACCCTGAGCAATGCCCCAGGAGCACCCAGGTGTTCCCCCTGCTCTGCAGATGTGTCACTGCTGTCCCTGGAGAGATTCCCAGAGATCACCCACTCCAGCAGGTACAGTAACCCCCTGAGAGCTGCCCTTGGCAGGGGCTGCCCCTCCTCATCCTCACTGACCACACCTGCGGCTGCTCTGACCCTGCTCATCCTCACTGACCACACCTGGGGCTGCCCTGACCCTCCTCATCCTCACTGACCACACCTGAGACTGCCCTGACCCTGCTCATCCTCACTGACCACACCTGGGACTGCTTTGTCCCCTCCTCATCCTCACTGACCACACCTGGGACTGCCCTGACCCTCCTCATCCTCACTGACCACACCTGGGGCTGCCCTGATCCTCCTCATCCTCACTGACCACACCTGGGGCTGCTTCATCCCCTCCTCATCCTCACTGACCACACCTGGGGCTGCTTCATCCCCTCCTCATCCTCACTGACCACACCTGGGGCTGCTTCATCCCCTCCTCATCCTCACTGACCACACCTGGGACTGCCCTGACCCTCCTCATCCTCACTGACCACACCTGAGACTGCCCTGACCCTCTTCAGCCTCACTGACCACACCTGGGACTGCCCTGACCCTCCTCATCCTCACTGACCACACCTGGGGCTGCTCTGACCCTCCTCATCCTCACTGACCACACCTGGGGCTGCTCTGACCCTCCTCATCCTCATTGACCACACCTGAGACTGCCCTGACCCTCTTCAGCCTCACTGACCACACCTGGGGCTGCTCTGACCCTCCTCATCCTCATTGACCACACCTGAGACTGCCCTGACCCTCTTCAGCCTCACTGACCACACCTGGGGCTGCCCTGACCCTGCTCATCCTCACTGACCACACCTGGGGCTGCTTCATCCCCTCCTCATCCTCACTGACCACACCTGGGGCTGCTTCATCCCCTCCTCATCCTCACTGACCACACCTGGGGCTGCTTCATCCCCTCCTCATCCTCACTGACCACACCTGGGGCTGCTTCATCCCCTCCTCATCCTCACTGACCACACCTGGGGCTGCTTCATCCCCTCCTCATCCTCACTGACCACACCTGGGACTGCCCTGACCCTGCTCATCCTCACTGACCACACCTGGGGCTTCCCTGGATGCTGATTTACGCAGGAATTTCACTAAACCCCACTCTGAGTCTCACTCAACCAGCCAAGCAAACCTTGCTGCTGTTCACATTGTTATTAGTAAAAATGATCAAGCCGAATTAATAATAAAATGTTACATGTAATATGGATAATTGGTGCCTATAAATAGATATATATAGATATCATATGTTATATTGCCGAGAGATATTTGTATAAAATTTTAAGCATGCGAGTCAGAGCCAGGGGATTGCCTCACATATGTTGAAACCATCTGACAAGAGGGAGGAGGACTTCATTTACAAAAGAATAAACGTAACTGGAGATGGGCTGTTCCCCAAGGTGATCCGAGGAACTCCCAAGCTCGACTGGATAAATATCTAAGATTGAGATAGCTGGAGCCACCAGAAAGATACATCTCAATGCCAAGTTCCAGTAACTCAATCAGGGACATACATCGCTCTTGGACATGGTTTTGTCCAACTCAATGTAGAGAAAAGAAACTCCATTAATATGTGAAAAACACCAATCACTTTGTTTTTAAAAATTTGAAAGTTTAATAATAATAAAATAGTTATAAAAATAGTAATACAATTAGAGTAATAAAATTTAGAGATAGGAAAATTACAAGACAATAAAAAGCAAAGAATTCCGGATGTCCGGATGCTCTTGGACACTAAGTTAACGACAAGCATACCTTGTGTACAAAGGAATAACCTTAAAAGCAATAGCTTGTTGCATATTTATATATCTCATACATGATGCATAAATTCCTTGCAAATTAAGAGCTTTTTTGGTTTTTGTCAACTTCTTCCCCTTAATCCTGGTTGTTCCAAAAAGCCGGAGAGAAGGTGGAAGAATGTTTGTCTTTTCTCATAAGGAGGCAGTAACTCTTTATGGGCCCCAAGTCACTGCCACCTCTGTGTGAAGAGTTTCTTGATTATCTCATCTCTTGCTTGAGCTAGTAAAAAAATATCTTACATCGTAGAGTTTATGTTGTAACCTAAAGCTGTATTTAACACACTACTTAAGAGAATTGATTCAGCATAACTTTCTAACATTACACATATAATATTCATTGTAACATTTGTGAAAAGCCAGTCATAAAGTATGCATTTTTCACAGATATGTGGGACTCTGAAAGGAAGAAAAGCTTGATCACAAGAACACTGCCTCAGGCAGAATAGACTCTTTGAAAACCGCTTGAACAGGATGGTCAGGGTGAACATAGGGGACCCTCTGCTGTAGTGGTCAGACCTGTGTCTCATCCAGCGCCGATTCTGGACTTGGCACTGTCCTTTTCTTTGTGGCTGTCTGAGACCGAATTTTGATTGCTGAATAAAAACGTATTTTTATTAATTATTAATTTGGCTAGATCACTTTTACCTGTAACAGCGACCGAGATTCGGTCTAAGTGGGATAAGTCCTTGTCATGCCTCCCTTACACAATGACTCAGCTGTGACAACTCTTCGAAGTACTGGGACATTCATGCCTGGGATGAGGCAATTCATGTTGGTTGATTTGCCGTAACACTGGATGTGGATTTCTTAACTTGCCTAAGGCGTTTTAGATCTCACCCTGACCACCAAGATTACAATTTATGTTACTTGCAAGGACACTCAGTGATCAGGAGCCCTGCTCTTGAAGCAGTCAATGCACGTTTTGGAGCTCTTTGGACATTAGGCAATTATCAGGAGCGAGCAGCTTTTGTCCCGGGGCAGTGTGTTTGGGCACTCAAACACTGCACCTTTCGGTTTGAGCCATCCCTTCATCTGAGCCCATTTCTGGGCTCAGCCTTCTCCTGCTACCTGCTTTGGAAGTGGTGTGGCATGGCTGAGTTCTGCAGGTGAAGCTTAAGACATTCTTAAGATGTAATTCTCCTCCTAACTAAGCGCCCAAGCCCTCACAGGGGTCATTATCAAATGTTGTTTCAACTGCACACCGCTTTACTAACTTCCACCTGGCAGATCTAGTTCCTGTTTAACCTCCAGTGTCCTTTTGCACTTTGCTCAGGTGGTTTCATTCTCTGTAGACAATTTATGGCTTAGCGGTTCTTTTCTCTTCCTTCCTTCCTTCTCTCGGGCAGTCGCCACACAAGCCAGTAAGAGAAAGGGAACATAACTAAATTTAAACTATTGCTGAGAGTCTCTGCCACAAAACCACTGTGCTCAGAAGTCCCTACAGATACCCCCTCATGACGATTCAGGAGAGTTTTCAGTGTCCTTACGCCTCGACTGAAGACCTCCGACTGCTAAGAACTGAAGAGTTGTGCTGCCTCTGACAGAAGCAGGCAGTGTGAGCGGGTTCCCCATTACCTGCCCAGAGGGTTTGCAGCTGGGACTTCTCCACAAGGACAGCAGTGATGGGCTCCAGAGAGCCCCTCTGAAAGCCTCCGTGCGCTGTCTCCTCCCCACGGCTCAGCGAAGCCGGCTGGGGGCTGCACACAGCTTCCTGACACAGGGCTGGGAGCGCCCGCTGTCCTCAGCTGTGTGTGGACAAAAACGTACACCCCCAGTACTAAAAGTTATTTCAGCATTTATTATAAAAAAAAGAAAGACCTAAAGCATGGGGACCAATGGGCCAAGCAGAAGTTTTCGCACAGAGGATGCTGCAGCTCCAGGACTGGGTCCTCTTTCTTGAACAGCGATTTCCGCGATGCTCCAAGCGGAGCCACACGGGTTCAGTGGGTAGATACCCCCTTTTTATGCTGGTTTTTGTTCCTTTGGATTGGTTTTTGTTTGGATCCTTCATTTGCACGAAGGTTTAAGGTGCTTGATTGGCCCATTACAGTTCCGTCCAGGCTGGCTCGTTTCACCCGCGGCTGGGGGTTGGTGCACTTCACTCAGGTGCAAATACTCTTATCTACCCTTTTACAATAACCAAACTAACAGGATGTGTTAACAGCTATTTTGCAACAGTTTCTAACCTACTTTTGACACACAGTTTAGCCTCACAATGCTCCCCCCCAGCAGGCACAGGCGAAGCGGTGTGTATTAAGGCACAAAGAAAGAAGCGGCGGTGACAGCTCCTCGGCCTCTTTGCCTTCGGGAGGCGGAGCAGGGCGGCTCCGAGTTTCACTTTCTGTGCCCGCTCCGGGCCGAGCGGGAAATGAAAACTGCGCGGCGGGGCGGGGGCTGCTGCTGCGGGGCCGCCCCGCTCCGCCCCGCTCCGCCCGCTGCCCCGGCAGCTCTCCCGAGTGAGCCCCGCACTCCTCCCGAGCCCCGCAGCCCTCCCGAGTGAGCCCCGCACTCCTCCCGAGCCCCGCAGCCTGAATGGGTAAGGAGCCCTTCTGCTGGTTGGTGAGATTGGAGCCCGGAAAGGGGAATAGTAAGGGAGGGTAGTTTGGCAGCTGAGTGGGAAATCTCCTTTCAGGCGCATCCCAGAGAAGTGAGGAGGTGATGCGCTCTTAGGCGCTTTATCCCCTCAAGGGTGGGTCGTCACACCGAGTTTCTGCTGGAGCCAGCACCTCAGGGGGACCACAGAAACATAGAATAGTTTGGGTTGGAAGGGAGCTTGAAATCATCTCATTCCAAGCCCCGTGCTGAGGGCAGGAACACCTTCCTCAGAAGGTGAAGAGATTATTCTACTAGCATAGATTGCTCCGAGCCTCGTCCAACCTGACCTCCCTGCTGCAGCCCACCACCTGCCTTAGCATCATCGGCACGCCGAGATTCCCAGGAAGGAAAAGGAGCTGAGAGGGAAGGGACAGCAAGCACCAGAGGTGGGAACCCTGCTCGGGCACGGGGGTGCGGGGAGTGAAGGGACAGCTCGGGGTTTGGTATGAGAAACCGGTGTCTTGGGAGGGCGGACGGAGGCTGGAACAGGCCAGGGAGAAAGGGAGGGCGCTGGGCTGGCTGAGGGAGAGGAGTGTGAGGGTAGATGATGACTATGGGGCGGAGGGTATCACTGCTCCCTGATCTCTGCCCAGCGCTGGTGCGCTGAGGTACCGAGTCCTTCCCCGACCTGCAAAGGAAGCCGAGAAGCGACGCTGCTCCTCCACTGAGAGCGGAGAAATGGGGAGCAGGAGGAGAGCCTGGCGCTCAGCCCCTTGGCTCACTCACCAGCTCTTTTATATACCTGTGCGGGAAGAAAAGCAGGTCCAGTGCAAGTCTTAGGAAGGCTGTATTTCTGACAGCTGAAACGAGGAGGTTCCAAGGGTTGGGAAATTCTGTGTGTCCCTGCTCCTACAACAGGATCACTGATAGTGGTGACTGGGAGAAAATTTCATGAAACCAGGGGCACAAATCCTCCCATATCCCCCTGCACCTTCCTGCCCTAGGATCCCTAACATCTTTCTACCTTTTCCTCAAGCCGCCCCAAAGCATTCAGCCCCGTGTTTGCTCTTTAATCCCGCTCTTAGTCCTCCCTTTCTTGACAAAACCTGCATCTTGCAGGTTTTCTTTATCCCCAGTACATCCCTAGCTATGTTTAGCTACCTCTGCACTGCCTGCCCCTCTCCTTTCTGTCTCTTTTGACATCCCCACTGCCTGGGAGCATCCCTTACCTCCTGGCTGATTCTACACCAGCTAAACCCACCAGCCTGAGACGAACTTCCACTCTAGCTCAGCTTTCAGAAACTTGAACGTGTCGTTACATCATTTTCAGGAAAACGGGCAGTCAGTGTTCAGGCTCTCTTTTGGCAAGAGAGAATCAGATGAAATTTATATTTTCCTGCATAGCTATTGAAATCACCAGGTCTGGGTATAAAAAGTAATGGCCTTTCAGAGTTTGTTGGTTTTGTTTTTGTTTTTTTCCATAAACAAAACCCAGCAAATTTGACAGTATTTGGTGAATCTTAGTGTGCCACATTTAGAGATCAAAAGTAATCTTCAAAAGTAAACAATCAAAAGTACAATTGGAAATAAGTATACTTAATTTTAAAGGTAATAATCTGGGAAAAAAATCAATTTCTTGCTTTTCTGCCTGAATCTTCAGTAACTTTGATAATTGACACTATTAGGCATAGTTAACCTGAAAACATGCTTTTAAAGCAAAGGGGGTTTTTTTTGTGTTTTTTTTTTTGTTTTTTGTTTTTTTTTTTATGAAAGGCAGAACGAGGATTTTGCTCATTTCCCTTTCTTAATAGTTTTTCTTCATTCTTTCAGTGCTTGGCCTTCAGATGATTTTATGCGCTGTTTAATATTTGTGAAATAATAACTTCTGAGCATTTTTTGGGTCTCCACCCCGCCCTTCCCTGTGAATATACGCTCTTTTTGGATTCTGTTTCCATGTTGGCTTTTAGAAAGTTTCGTTTTTGCATAGTTGCATTTGAACTTTTATCAGGCAGTTTTGTTTTTGTGTTTGTATTTTGCTTTAGTAGCTGAGTTGCATGAGACTGTCAGAGTAATGGTCTGTTGAATACTCCCTTAAAAATCAAGGCATTATAATGGTTCTCTTACATTAACAGTTACTCTGCCTGTGATCACTTGAAGGAACAGAAAAAGAAACTGGCATGTTGGTACTTAAAAGTGTTTCAAAATTACAGTCCAAAGTGCCACAGTAGTGCTGCGAATCAGGCGTTAAAACCAATGCAGGTAGCCCAGCAAAGAAACCAAATGTGCTTAGCAGGTCAGAAGAGAAGGTGAAATTTGACTTTTTCAATACTTGGGCTACTTTTATTTTGATAAAATATTGTTTTTTTTCCAAACAGAGGAGTTTTGCAACATCTGCTTCTGGGCAATTTTAATCATCCTATTGACCAAATCTTTCTGAACAGGGATATGTGAGTTCCTTGGCTAGATGGAGCTGTTTCTGTGGAATTGAAGGCTCATTTATTTATTTAGCCACAAGAGAAAGACAGGATAAGCAATTGTCATCAGACTCCGTTTCTGTTCCTTTAGCAATAGCCTGCATTTTTCAATACCCATGTTAATTCAAATATCCCACGTGCTCTTGCAGTAATCTTAGTGATTTTATTGATATTCCAAGCCAGGCTGGATGGGGCCCTGAGCAACCTGATCTAGTGGTTGACATCCCAACCTGTGGCAGAGGGTTTAAATTAGATTATCTTTAAGGCTCCTTTCCAGCCCAAACCATTCAATGGTTTTTTGATTTCACTTTTTTCATGATGAAAAGGTCTCCTCTGTCCTTGAGCAATATTGTTAATGGGACAAACAAGTGGACGTCAAGAAAGAAATAAGAAACCAGAGGTGGCACCAAGCGAGATCATGGAGGCAGAAATTGAAGTACAAAATACTAAAGAGGAAACCAAAGACGTGAAGGCCAAAAACCAGAAGTTGACATCAGTCTTTGGTTTGGCAGACTTAAAAAATGGTAATAATGTTTTGCCTATTCTTCACTGTCATATTTTCTATTTCTTGTGCCTGCTGTTCCATTCTCTGTCCATAGGCTTAATTTTCTCCAATTCCTTATCTCTTCACTGAGGATAATTCTCATTTTCACTTGTCAAGTAACCATTTTGAGTTTTTTTAGAATGGATTACATGAAGATCTCAAAGCTTTTTCTGTATTTAAGTCCTCAAATTGGCCATTGCAGCCAAAAAAGCCTAGTTGCTGGCTCTGTCTCTTTCCAAACACAGCCAGAAGTGCTGAATTTGCTAAACCATGGACTAGGCCCTGGTTTAATAACCTATATGAGGTTATTCTCCTCATACAGGCAGCCTTTGCCTCCTGTTGTTCTATTTTATGTTTAGATGTGTTGTGAGAGGACTGAAAATAGAGGAACTGGGAGAAATCTGAGAATCATTAGCCGGGTTTCCTTGGATTTTTTTCTGTCAGTTGCCAAACAAAACCAAATTTTATCTGTTTGATCAACAAAAGAATAGATTGAACACTTTTTCAGGTCTGGCCAAGATGCTGAGCCTATACACTGAGTTACTGAATGTGCACAAGAAGAGTTTGCCACTTCCAAATGACTTTCACTTTCCTTTCTTGTACCTATTCCCAGGCCTCACTTCATCTTTTTCTCCCTTACAGAAGCTATTGGACTGTACAACCTTGGGCAGAGCTGCTGTCTGAACTCTCTGCTCCAAGTGTTCCTCATGAACATACACTTCACAAGGATCCTCCGAAGGTACCTCCTGTTTGAGCTCCCTGAGATATTTCCATTGTTGCACTGTTATCTCCACTCCTTTTATATGGGATGTACTGTATATACTGTATATACATCCAATATATATATATATATCTCCAATACTGTGTATTGGATCACTGAGGTGCTATCAGGATGCTTTTGGTCCCTCAGCAAGGTGTCTGCCTTGTCATGTCTGTCATGCACTGGCACGACAGGCCCTGCAAAGGTAGAAATTGCAGTGTTCAGACTTGTTAATAACCTCTGATTCATGTCCTGAGCTGAGTCTTCATGGCTTGTATCTCTCTCCTTTCCCTAACAGGATATAATTTTATTCCAGGCTCACACACAGGTCGTTATAATAAAGGGTTTGTCACATGTAGCCATATCCACTATTGATTTTGTCACTTGAAGCATGTAAACATAAACATACCTTAACCCCTTGCCTCTGGGCCCTGACTGCCCTGGCTAGCTCCTGACAGAGAAGTGTTGTTGTGGATCATGAATACCTAGCATTACTTTTTTTGCTTGGCTGTTGTCCCTGAGTGTCTTGAGGAGGATTTGGGCTTCTGTGTCCCTACTGACCACTCTAAGAACTGGATTGATTTGTTTTCAGTTTACTTACTTCACTGCAGATTTAGTAATCTAAGTGGATCATTTCTATTCAGTCCTTTCTTACGTGCCTGCTAGTAAGCAGAGAAGAAAGAAGACAGATTTCAGATATGCAGAAATGATAAGTGTCATAAATGGGCAAAGCTAAATAATGTAGACTGTAGGTTACCATGCTCATTTGAAGAAAGAAAAACCTGTGGGCTACAGTAAATTTAGGGAGAATTAAGAGTTTTGTTGGCATATTGTTGAAACACAAGCATTATGATATATGTGCCCATGAGATTTTGAGACCATGTTGAGAGTGAGGACATCAATGAGTGAGAGGCAATAAAGGTCTGGAATTGGCTGTAACTAATGTTGTTTCTAGAGTCCAGAAAGCACTTGAGGTCCTGCTTGGCTTGTCTCTATTTCAGGAGCAAGCCAACTTAAAATTTTGGCCTTTTACTTTAGAACTGTCAGCCTGCACTGTGGAATCCCCTTTCCCTTTTCCCCTTTTTTGATGAAAATGTTCCCATTCTGGTTCCTTTTGAGCTGCTGTCTCTGCTACTGACTTGTGCTCCTTCAGGTGTGGTGTCTGATATTTCTCCACTGAACCTCTGACTACCATTGGTGTTGCTTCTTCCCCTTTCAGGATCACAGTGCCCCCATCTCCTGCACAGAGGAGGAACAACGTCCCCTACCAAATGCTCCTGCTGTTGGAGAAGATGCAGTGTGGCAAGTGCAAAGCTGTTGGTCCCACAGACCTGGCTTGCTGCCTTTCAGAGCACAGAGTGGAATGTAAGCAGCCCTGCCTCATGCCTACCTCTGTCTGCATTATCCAGCACTTACAAGCAGCCCAGACTCCAACATCTCCTCCAGGAATTCAGAAATGCCAGGAGTTGGGTACACAATGACACAGTTTTCTCTGTAGCTGCCTCCCAGCTGAGTGCAATGCTGCGTCTTACTTGTGAAGAGAGGGAAAAAAAGCCCTGCTGGATGTATTTGCTGATATCCAAAGGGTGGGAGGACTATCAGGCTGCTGGAAGATTCAGCTATGGATGCTGTGCAGGGCAGAGAGGACAGTCCATTGTTTGATTTGTTTTGCTGTGCTGCATCAGGATAGTGAAAATAGCTGCTGTTACTTATTAGAAGAAAGGATAGTGTGGGAAAGAGAATGAATTTGCACAGATCCCCCTCCTGCTGCTTCTTATAAGGGCAGAGAGAAGGATTTGCAGGCTAAATCTCCCAGCTAGTCAAAGTTCTAAAAGAGAGAGGTTTCTAATGCATGAGTGACCAGTGACAATGGGATGCCAAGAGTCTGTCTATGTGTACAATACACAGGGTATAACCAAATGCCCTTATCTTTGTCCTATAAAAGCCCAAACAGGAGAGTAGTGAAAGGGGAGGTGCCCTGACCTTTATGAAAGAGGAACACAAGGTAAACTCAGTATCCCTGTTTACATCATTTTTCTCTTGACTCTGAGTGGCTTTGCAGTCAGCCATCTCTCTTCCAGTTAAAGAGAGATAGGGATCAAGGGATCTATCCAATCTGGTGTGTGAGACATATGGATAGGCCTTCCTATCGTTTTAATCTCAGTATTAAATCATTTTAGCCTTCCTGGGGCATAAGAGGATGGGGAAAACAAGTCTGTGAGTAATAAAGGTGAAAAGGAGAACAGAATCTTCCTTGTATTGTTTCTAAGGAGGATTCAAAGGGGACTCTTTACAAGGGCATGGTAGGACATGTGACATGGAAGTGATGGGACAAGGGGTTATGGTGTGAAATGGAGAGATGGTTTCGATTAAATATTGGGAAGAAATTTTTTACTGTGAGAGTGGTGAGACACTGATGCAGGATGCCCAGGGAAGCTGTGGGTGCTGTGTCCCTGCAAGTGTTCAAGGCCAGATTGGAAGGTATTTGCTGGTCCAGTGGAAGGTGTCTTTGCCCATGGTGGGGGGAGTGGAACCAGATGATGTTTAGGGTTCCTTCCAACCCAAACCATTCTCTAATGCTATGAAATGCACCCCCCAACTCAGTGAGCCATCTGAGCCCTCCTCTGGATGCTCCTCTGAGCATCCTCTTGTCCCTGCACCTGGTGACAAGGACATGACTTCTGCACTGGGTAGTTCAAACACTCCTGTGTTTTCCCACTGCCTGCTCAGGTCACAGGGGGAAATTGCAGCTGGTTCCCAGTCTAAGCTCTGTCTCTGCAGGGAGGAGCAAGGGACAAGAGACTGGATCTAAAGGGGAACAAAAAAAATCTCCCTTTGCCATTTGTGGGACATCTGTGCTCGGTGCTGCTCATGATACTGATTGAGGTTGTGTTTTCTGCTCGTGCAGTGTTTGTGCAGCATGATGCTGCTCAGCTCTTTCTGACTCTCTGGAACTTGTTAAAGAAGCAGATGAAAAAGCCAGAGCTGGTAAGGATGGTAACTGAAATGAACCTTTGGCCCTTACCTTTGGTTTCCTCTGCTCCTTGAAGGATCCCATTGACTGGCAATTGCCCCAAGTTAAATTTTTAAAATTACCTCTTCTTTCATTGTATCTTTCAAATGGGACAGAGAATCTTTGTTTCATAAGCTTTGACATTTTGAAATACAGTTACATTGTACTCATCCTGCTTTTAGGGCATGCCAGAATCCATTCTAATGGGAGAGCTGATAACTAAAATATTGATATTTTTGCAGCATTGCATTTAGTTATATTTAATTTCTTTTTTCCCCCAAATTTCTGTCAGCATTTATTGGTGTATCTTGACACAGCTTTTCTGTTCTTTGAAGTCAGCCACGTGCATTTCACTATAATTAGTCACTGATAGTATGGGATATATATGTAACTCCCATGGGACTGGAAAGAGAGAAGTGACTCTTCCCTGACTGACTGTCACAGTTTTAGTAATACAGAAGACAGGCTCTTGCTGCAGTTTCAAGCAAAATAGAACAATTCTGCATCAAAGCAGATATTTAACCCTCTGGTCTTATAGGCTGTGTCTTTCCCCTCTGTTAGGGAATGAGGGGAAGGAGTTGTTCTCCCTTAAATTTTGGGAAGTACCCTGTCCACATAAGTCATTGTCACATCTTGGTTCCAACCTCAAAAGAATAATTTGCTTGAAATGTGTGACCACAGGGGCTTTCCCATCCGCAGGGGAACAGCTCAGCTGTCTTCTTCATAAACCTTGTTTTGGCCTTATTTTTCACCCCTCCAGGTTGAAGAGCTGAGTGATTTGTACACGATCTGCATACAGGAGCATCTGGCCTGTCAGAAGTGCTCTTTTGAAGTAAAGAACAACAGCACCATGTTAACCCTTCCACTCCCAGTGCTGGATGCCAATTCTCACAGGCTGAAGACTCTGGTAAGTTTAGCAGCAGCACTGTTTCCTTAGGAGGTGATTCCCCTCTGTTCAGAGTGGATTTTTCAAATCCCAGTGGTCCACTGGACCTTATAGATTCTCTGACCACTTTACACTGTTTCAGCATAAAGGAGCTGCTTTGAAAACCACTAGGGCTTTGAAGTAGGTATAAAAGACATTTATACAGCAATACCTTCTTTGTGGAATATGTGTACTCATTTTTTTTTTCCCAACTATTGCAATCACAGCAGCAGCTAGGAGAAATGAGGCACATTTTGGTTCAGGCTGCTAGGCAGTCTTTTGTCCTTTGAATAAAACATTCCTTCTCTAACTTTGCTGGCTTCGACCCTCTGAAATAATGTAGAAATAAAAATCCAGCTGAAGGAATTCAGTTGAAAGAAGTCTCTGTCTTTTTAGGAGGACTGTCTGCAATACTTCTTCCATCCAGAGGAGCTGACTGGACAAAACATGTGTTTCTGTCAACAGTGTGGGAGGAAAACAACTTTTCTGCAGGTAATTGGAGAATTATTTCCCATGTCTCATACCCAGAACTTCCTTGAAGACTGGGGAGGTGGGGAAAGGACTCAACCATATCAAGTTTGAGAGGAGATCAACAACTCAGATTTGCCAGGACAGGAGTGTCAGTGAGATAAAAACAACAGACACCTTTTCTCCTGTTAGGAAGACGGTCCTGTGGTCTAATGTCACAAGGAAGTCGATTTGCTTCTCCTTGCCTTCCTTGTGCTACCAGCCTATGGCTAGGAAAGCACATGAGAAGTGAAGCAGCCCTTGAGACACCCAAGGCTGGGTGCTGGTGACACTAAAGTTGAGAAACTTGGATATCACAGCTCTGTTGTGTGGATGTGCCTTGTGTGCAGGTGGGCTACCAAGGTTTGGCATCTGAACTGGCAAATACCCACTGGAGCACTGGCTGTTCTCCATTCTACACACACTGGGGGGCAGTGGCTCCTCAGGCTTTGTCCCCAGGCTTTGTCCCCAGTTTTCAGTGGCATTATTGACTGTTTTACAGAGCATGAAGCTCGTCCATCTGCCACAGACTCTGGCCTTGCACCTAAAGCGCTTCTGCTTTGAGAGATCCTCTCGCACGCAAAAGCTGAGTCTCCACCTGCCATTCCCACAAGAACTGGATCTCAGGGAAATCTTGACAGAAAGTCAGTGCCAAGCAGATGACAGTGAAAAGGTGAGATATTCCTCTTCAAAAAGGGTGGATTTTCTTCTCTCTGCTCCATTCTCATAAAAACTTAAAGATCACACCAATATTTGTCTCAGTTCAAAGTGCCTGTCTTAAAAATTTGTGTGTCAAACTTTACCTGTGCCTGGTGTTGTCTCACATCCCATAGTTTTAACTGATTCAGCCATTGTTTAACATCCTGTACTCAGATTAAACCACCAAAGGCACCATAACTGGAGCTCCCTGCCTTAAGGACAAAAACCAGGCTTTGCAGATCTCACCTGTCCAAGACAGGGGAACTCTGTTCCTGGTATTTCCCATGCAGAATTGTTTATATTGTTGGCCACAGATTTTGATAATGTTGGCCACAACAGCTTTGCTAGGCAGCTGAGATGGGTCTGCCCCACTGTGGGTCTGTTTGTTTTCCTGGGAAATAACAAGGGGAAGTGTGGCAAAAACAGAAGTCACCATTGCAGTGACTGTGGTGAACCTCTTTGCTGTTCCTTTGCTATCCTGCTGCCTTTCTCACCACCCTCTGGTCTCCAGGGAGGCTGCCAGCCCATAGCTGATGGGCAAAACTGAGGGCAAGAGCAAAAAAAAAGGCAGGATTCTCAAGGCAAATCTGATCTTTTTTCCTTACAAAATGCACATCCTCACTGCCCTGGCTGCTGCTTGTCTGCAGTCTGTGGCAGATGAGAATTGCTGCACTGGAAATTGCTCTTTGTGTCTCTTTGCAGGGTACCTGGCAGTTTGAGCTCTTTGCTGTTGTTGCTCATTCAGGATTGAGCAGCTGTGGACATTACTGTGCCTACATTCGGAGCCTCACAGACTGTAAATGGTATTGCTTCAACGACTCTGAGGTTTGCCAGGTAAGCAGATCCAGCCACATTTCTTTTGGACCTTCCTGGACACTCCTCCATGTCTCACCCAGTCTGACTGGTGCTGACTAAAGAGAACCAGCAAAGGAAACTGAGTCTGCACAGCTTTGTCCACCTCTGCTACAGGGTGCTCTGGGCTGAGGGCAGAGTGGCTCTCACTTCTGCACCAAATAAGGCCTCAGGTTCTGTTTTGTGCATTGAAAAATGACAAAGCATTCTGAATATTGCAGAATATTCAGGATATTTGCTGAATGTCCTACTTGATGTACCCTATGTCTGTTTAATGTATACGTTCAGAACTGGTTATCCTCAAAGAGTCAAAGCAATAAACCAATTTATTGAAAGGTGTTTAGTTCCTGGAAGTGCCACTTACACCACTCTTATGAGAATTTTTCCATCTCTTGAGAATTTTTACCAGGCTCCTCCTGTGTGTTTTTCTCCTAGGTGTCATGGGATGATGTTAAATGCACCTATGGGCATTCCAACCTCTACTGGTATGCAAATGTATCACTGATATTTCCTAATACTGCTCTGGACTTTGGAATGAGGGTAGCAAAGAGAGGGGAGACAAACTGGTTTGGGAACATATTGCCTGGGGTCTAGTGGGGATGCAGGAGATGTGCCAGTCAGGATTTCTCCACACTTTTCATTTTGATGCATTGTAAGAAAATGAGCTTACAGGAGGGAGATAATCTCTCCTATAAACCACAGCACTGCCAGAAAATCTTGGGAACATTGGAGAGGGCCTGCTTAGTTGACCTAAAGCTCAGAAAGCTGAGCAGGAGCAATTCTGGGATGTTACCTGCAACCTAGATCTTCAAACATACCTTGTGATGTGCTTTCTCTTTGCCTCCACAGGAGAGAAACAGCCTATCTCTTGTTTTACATGAAAAAGCACCCTCAGCAGCCCTGGCCAGGAGTATCAGAATGTCTCTGAAAGCTGTGCATTGTCTGTGGAGCTCAGCACCTCTGTGCCAGTGAGGACATGTCCAAATGTTTCACCAGAAAGACATTCTGCACTCAGTAACCTCAGACTTCACATTTGGTGAAAAAAGTGCAGCAGACACTCAGCTTAGGGAAAGGATCTAGAAACTGTTGCAGCTAGGGACTTTTTCTTTAGTGCAATTTTTATATTTATGTGACTCCACTTGTTCATTTCCTCTTTAAAAGATGGTGAAGATAGTCCTTGTCTCTGCTGCCTTACTATTTTCCTTAATGCTGATGCCTGGATCCCAGTGCAGGGGAAGTGCCTGGGCTGAAAGCCTGTGTGATGTGCCAGGGAGGTGTGGGAGCCATACAGAGCCAGCAAGAGCTTGAGATTTACTTTGTCCTTTTAGCACCATGTTAGATGCTGGAAAGCTGGGCAGGAGACCCCCAAAATCACCCCAGAAACAACTGGAGGAAGGATCAGAACCCTTATGACACACACATCAGTGGCACATACTCCTTAAAACCTCCCAGAAAATGAATCACTGCAGGGGCAGAGATGTGTCAAGAGGTGTTTCAAATCAGAAGCTATTGGAGCAGTTCTGATTTCCAAGATGATCTGTTTAAATTTGTGCAGGTGATTATTATTTTAACAGGCTTATCAGGCTTTTAGATGCATTTTCTTTCCTGTAGAGGAAAATATTCAGAACAGCAGAGATTCTGAAGCTGGTTCATGATTTTGCACAATACAGGCCATACATGGTGGTAAGGGAAGTGAGGTGCCTTGATATGATTGAATTTTTGGGATTTTTGGTTGTGTGGCTTTTAAAACACTTGTGGTGTTAACTCTTGCTGATCCTCTTAGATTGAGAATCCTAGCAGTTTGGGATCTGGAAGTACCTTCACCCTAATACACCCTATTACTGTATCCTTACAAAGGTGCTGTTTTTGTGGGGTGAGCAATTAAAAAATTATATTAAAATTATATTAATTATATAAAACTAATATAGATATATTGCCATCTATGTATAACCCAATTTTATTTTGGCAATGATGGTGGAGTTCACAAACCATGTCCATTTTCTGAAGGTAAACTGAAGAATCTTAGAGCATAGCTGTGAAATTACTCATTTATGGTGTAGTAGGTATTTATTTCACTTATTAGCAAGGTCCATTATTCTGTTTGTTCAGCTGTGTATTTGTATTATTTATTCTGTGTTAAAAAAATCCCAGTGTATTATTTGCCATCAGGATGAGGAATTTTCAGCCTGTTCACCTTCAGGAATATATTGCATCCTTTCTAAAGCATCTTGCAATGAGTGAGTAAGAAAACCAAGTTTCTGTTTGCTTTTTCAATACTTTACCTTTATAAAGGAGCTGGAAAAAGCTGCATTTTTCTTAGCTGAACTGAGAAGTTAATGAGATAAGAGAACTGACATTTCTAATTAGCTATAACTTAAAATTTAAAAATTTATGCTTATGAAAAATGCCTTAAATGCGTCATAACCTTCCAAGGATGTCACCCATCAAGGAAACAATTGCAAAGATATATTTAAGAATGTTTGCAATCAGTGGAAAAAACCCCGTTTAATTCCAATGAAAAGTAATCACTGTTTTTTTGAATAAAATATAATGGGATACATCCCTTAAAATCAGTCTTGTGGTTTATTCTTCATCTATTCTTCCTAAACACTGAATGCAGATCAAGTATTCAGGGTAGAGCTGCTGATAACATTTATCTCCAAGAGCCATGGTGTCTTGGTTTGGAAAGAGAGGGGTTTGTTAAGGAAGGCAGGAGCCTTCCTTGAAATGGAAAACATAAACTCCCTCCCTCCGAATTATTATAATTTTTGAAACTAAGAGGCTCTCAGGCAGAGATATGGGAATGAGTTCTTTACTAGGAAAATTTAAAATACATATATAATAGTACAAACAAAAAAAGCCCTACTGGCAGAGTCAGGATACAGCCTGACCCCCTGTGTGTCAGGGAGGTGGCAGCAGCCCCATCCCAGGGTGGCTCAGCCCTCCTGCAGTGCCAGCTGTGCTTCTGCTGGAGCAGGATCCTGCACAAGGGGGCAGTTTTCCTCTGGAGCTCCAGGGCTGGTGGAGATGGGCCTGGGCTTCCTCTGGGAATGCAGGGGAGAAGAAAGCTGCTCCTCTGGGAATGCAGTGGGGAAGAAAGCTGCTCCTCTGGGAATGCAGGGGAGAAGAAAGCTGCTCCTCTGGGAATGCAGTGGGCAAAGGCTGGTGTGCTGTTCCCAAAGTCAGATTGTATCCAGGTAGGAATGCTTGGCTCCTCCCTCTGGGTGGAGCATCTCCCCGTGGGTTGATGGAATTTTCTCAGCCATGCAGTGACAATCAATAGCCCATGAACAGAAGATAATTAATAATTAATAATTAATGGTCCATTAACAGCAGATGTCTCCTGGAGGGAGGATTGGTTTGTGGAAGAGAAAAGCAAACTGCCCAATGAACAGAAGATACCTGCCCCACCTCTGACAGATGGCAAATAGAATACCCCCAAACCATATCTCACAACTCAGAAGACGGGGAAAAAAACAGCTAAACCTGGACACTTCACCCCTGTGCTGGAGGCACAGTGAGTTTGTTTTCAGGTTTGCTGTCACCCGAAAGCTTAAGCTGCTTCCCCATGGAGCTGGGCCGTGGGAGCGCGGGAGGGTGAACAAACTGCAGCACAAAAACTCAGCTTTAAAAACTCCCGAGCTGAGCTGCTTCTGCAAAAAAATCACCTTGACTGCCCCTGTGTCCACAGCAAAGCCCAGCCTTGTGCTGAACAAGCTGCCCAAGGAGTTATTTTTATCCAAGGAAGCCCCTTGTAGCAAATTACACATCCTCTGCTTCATCCCTGCCAGACTCTTCCTCAGATTCAGATATTCCTCACCTTCAAGAATACCAGGGTGGAAAAAAGTAAATGCATCTAATAAATGTCTCACAGAGGTATAATTTCTAAAATGTCAATATGTAATTTAAAAAATCACTGAAGGACGGGGAAACAATGATTCAGAGAGCCATGGTCATCAAAGATCTCTCCTCTACGTAATCCTCTTTTCTCACAAATAAAGAGAAAATCCATGCAGGGGAATGAAGTCTCTACCTAGAAGCCCTGGGCACTACAATTACTGGTTAAACCCTGCTTTCATTGCAGAATTCAGGCCAACAGACCTGATCTTTTATTTCAAAACTTGATCTTTCAGAAATAAAATTAAAAGGGTTCTGAATGGAGTGACCACTCACCAGACAGCAGCTGACAGCAAAAGCTATGGGGAACCTTGAGGTCAAATATATATATATATAAATAAAAGAAATATAAAAAAGTGTAAATACATAGGTGCCTGATGCTGTGGGGATGAAGCCATATTGGGAATTTAAAAAAAAAAAAAAAAAAGATTCCTTCTGAGAAAAGAAGCTAGCTGGCATTTTCTGGTGATGTGTTCAGGACAGGTGAGATGAGAAATAGTTTTGGGGAATGTACCAACTCCCCACATACCACTTTTCTTGCAGAAAAGCTGAACCTGCATCCTAAACCAATACAAAATTGCCATGATGAGCTCACTCAATAAATTCATGAGTTTTCAGTAATCAGTTTTTAAGTTCTTCAAAGAGTGAGATAAACCAAAATCCCTGCCTCCTCTTATTATAGCACTTCTGCCCATATTTTCCTTGTCTGCAGCCAGTCAGCAGGCAGGAGGGAGGGGCCAAGCTGATTTAAAAGGTTTTGCAAGAGCCCACAGCCTCTCCTTGCCTGCAGTGCTGGGAGGAGACTGCACATGGCCACTTACCTGGAGCTGCCCACTCGTGGGAGGATGCCCATCCTGGGACTGGGGACCTGGCAGGTACCTGCTGCAGCTGGGGAGCTCTGGGCAGTCATTTACATGCTGCAAAAGTAAAAACTTCTGCCCAGCTAATTTTCCTTTCTATTTTTTTTTTGTTTGTTTGTTCTGCTTTTTCTTTTTTTGTTTTCTTTTGGCACTGGGTGTTAATATCCCAGCATGTCATATAGGTGTCATCTGTGATGGGTGTGTGTAGCTACAGGAATTAAAGGGGCAATAAGTAGATTTGGAAATGGGAACTCACAAAAATCCCTTAGAGACTGAGGATATCTTATTTTTTTTTTAGCAGCAGATGAGCATGCAGCACTTTGCAGGGATATTGCTTGGGTGGGTCTTTATCTGTAAATGTTACCTAATGGGCTTTCGGTAAGAGAGAGTAGGTTAAAGAATATATTGAATTATAAACATAAAACGAGTCTGGAAATGAGCTGAAAATTTTAAGAAACTAATCTTCTTAAGGAAGATAAAAAGATAAAAAAGAGTAGATTTTCCCCTGGATCTGAGACTGGAAACAAAATATGTCAAATCACAACTTCCCAGCTCCATGAAACACTTTTCTAGTCACCATAAAAATATCTTAAATTCTTGCCATATTTTGGGTCAGTTGATCTAATCAGCATTTAACTTTATGTGCACAAACTGGGGTGAGTTTGTTTAACCCTTTCAGTCTTCATTTTTCTGATGACAAAGGACACGAAGAAGCCTAAAGTAGTTAAAATAGGCTTTAAAAGCCAAACTGGCTTGTGAGGGGGGCTCTTGGGGCCCAATGCTGTGATGGGGGATCTCTCTGAAGGAACTTGTTAAGCTGCTAATAGAAATTGGTTAGGACTGAGTAAAAGGAAAATTTTGGGTACATGATCCCTACCACCACAAAATAATATCTTCTGTTATGCAATGAAAACAAGGCCCAAGCCTATTGTGATAATTTCATTAAAGCTATTTGATTTCAAGGTTCCCACAGCAGTCTCAGCATTTTGGTGCCTTAATGGGACCTCCCCTTTACCCAGCAGCTCTGACTCGAAGCCGAGCTTAGTGAGCCCCTTGGAAAATGAAACAATGGGTTATTTTCTCTGGGAAACATCTCACATGACAGAGTTTTATGTAATCTCAAGGGTAGGTTGTTGCCTTTGCTCTCCACCCCTCAGCAGTGATACTGATTGCTCCAGCATGGCAGCTTTCCCAAGCTGCAGCAGCAGCCAGAGATGAAGGGCTCCAAAATGCCATCATTTGGCCACTGGTAGCCTGCTTGCCCATGCCTGCTTCTTCCTGCTGCCCTGGGAGGCTCACATCCAGGATGGGATGGGGAAAGGGACTGCAAAATGATAACCTATAAAACTTTTAGCTGGCTCTTTAGTTGTGCATAGCCTTGCGGGAAAAAAAATTGCTACATTTTCTATGTTTTTGTTGTTTAATGTAGGTGAGCCAACTAAACACACTTTGACTGGAAAAACTTGGAGAAGTGATATAATTTAAAAAAAAAAAGTTAGGAGGTGGTCATGGTTTTAAATCACATTTCTGTTTGGAGTGCCATTTTCTGGATTCAGTCATCAAACAGCTCCTTGGTGTCTCCAAGCCAAGAATCTGAAGTGCTTTATTTTGCTCTTAAGTACCACGTGTGTATTTTACCCAGGAGGTGGCACTGTCTGTAGTGTTTTGAGTCCCCTCACCTCCCTGTCCTGTGTCAACAAGAGCTGGATTGTTGTTGTGCAGGGCCAGCACGCATTCCAGAGGTGATTGCTTTCCTCATGTCACCAGTATGCCACACTAAAGTTGCTTTTAATTTCTATGGAACTTAGAACTTATTTCAGGATAGCCTCGTGTCCCAAGGTGAACTTCCAATACTTAGGAAAGGGTGGATCAGCTCAGGCACTTCATCAGTGACTCCCTTTGCCATTTGATTTCACAAAACTAATGAAAGCCAGATACAGGCTGGAATATGTCGATATTCGGGGGCTTAAAACCGCCAGCTTTGCAGGACAGCAAAGCTCTTTGTTTGCTATTTAGCAAAACACCTGGCTTCTCTTCTGGTTTCAGGCTCTCCAGGGGGCAGCGAGGGATGCAGTGAAGTTTGCCATCGACGTTGGGTACCGCCACTTCGACTGCACCTACATGTACCAGAACGAGAGCGAGATCGGGGACGCGCTGCGCCAAAAAATGGAGGAGGGCGTGCTGAGGCGAGAAGAGCTCTTTATTGTCAGCAAGGTGTGTCCTTGGACAACAGTTCTCACTTGGGACCCAGCTCTAGGGAGGAGAGACAAAGTCCCGACATGGAAAGTGCCGTGGGATGAAGCTGGGAATTACCTCCTCTCTGTCAGGGCCAAGCATTTTGTGGATGCTGAGGGGAAGGAATAGGTCACCCCCTGAGAAACAAAAGGCTTGGTTTGAGAGGGGTTTTTTGTAGTCCATGTCCATTGTCAGCCATGGAGACAGGAACTGAGGCCGTGCTCCTGGTGGCCTCTGGGATAGGAAGCGGGGCTATTGTTTTTGTGGTCACTCCTGCTGCGCCGCCGGCCTCAGCCTGTCAACTCCTGTATGTTATGCTTTGTTTTGTTTTTTCCCCCAACAACAATGGTAGGAAAAATAAAGTAACTTCTATCTGCTGGAAGCTGGTGGGTCGATTTTCACCAGGTTCACTTATTTTCTTTGTTTTAATTGTTGCAATAATTGATGGAATCTCAGAGTGTCCCATTCTCATTTCACTTACTTAACAGTACCACAAATAGATTGAGGTGCCTCAAGTGGCACTTTCTCAAGAAGAGGTGTCACACCCTGAGCTGCCTCTGTGTCTGTGCCCTGTTTCC